TATCTCAGAGTAGGAGTTGAGGCAGGAGATAGATATACTTAAATAAAAACATACTTTGCTAGAATAGTACTCAGGCTCATACTGGTAACAGCTATACAGAGATGTTCTGTTAAATCCAGTGCGAATCTGGTCTGCAGAATAATGGCAGACAAAAAGAGAAATTAATTAAATGATTGTTACTACAACTGCTCCAGCAGCACCACCATTCCCCTCCTTGTGCTTTCTTAAGTTTCCCAGGAGCAATGCCACTGAAGAAAAAAAGCCCAAAGATACAATTCTGTCCAAATCTTCTGGGTTCACTCAAGTAGAAAGCACTACATGTCAGTCCAGACACAAAGCAAATCACCCCAGTGCCACTGTTAAGCTTTGTGACAATGAAGCGTAACTCTATGGAGCAGTCAAGGGAATGGATACCGTGAAGCAGGAAAAGTAACGGCCGCTCACGAATAGCGATAATCAGGATACAACTCTGAAAGCCAGTCAAACAGCACAGGAGAGTTACAGCTTTCATGTGAATAATTTATTCTTTTATCACTTTAAATTTTACCAGGTACTTATTTACAAAGAAATTTTTTTGTGGACAGAGTTTACATCAGTTACTGCACAATTTTATTCATTAATAGGGTATGATTAGCATCCTTCCCGTGTTGCTTAACAGTGCCTTTTTTGATCAAATAGGGTTATTCTTTTGCCAATTATTCCCTTGACTTAGTTTCCAAGTGTAAACAGAATTTGTGCAAATGCCTTTGCTGCAATTAAGATTTCTTTTTACGGAACCAGTTAATAGATGGAAATAGTAAAGTTCCATCTGCGATTAGCATTTTCTAAGAAGGCTTGTTTCTTTATTGAAGCAGGGACTTCATTTTAGATGCAGTGAAGGCTTTAGGCATTTCCATGTTACGCACTGCGATGCCTCTTTACCAAGGCGTCCCCCCTGAGAAGAATCCAAATTACCTGCTTGGCCTCCCAGTGCAACGCCTGGAGTTCCTCACCTCAGACTGGCAACCCAAAATACAGAGCCTGTCTGGAAAAGCTTTCCACAGAAGAAAACTTGCACAATTGCACCAACATGTGCTAAATGTGTCCTGAATTACCCACCCAGGAGCTGGAGCCTGGAATCTACCCAGAACTCGGTGTGCAGGAGCTTATGTGTGCTTTTGGAGGATTTCCATGAGGTTCACCCCTGAAAAAGAGCCGCGGGAGGCAGTCCCGGTGCTCTTTTTCTGAACAGTCATCTAGATTCGAGAACACACACACATGAAGTGGGAGGCCTGAGTTCAGTCCTTGCTCAGTTTAAAGGAATTAAAGCCTACGTCCTCTAGGAGATGACCTTGAAAACAGGAGTGCTCTAGGGAGGAGGAAGCGGAAAAATTATCTCCTGCATGTCCTATTAGAAGTGGGAGAAGGGGACTGTGAGATTCATGGAGAAGGAAGACAGCAGAGAGGCGTATGTCCCTCCAGCTAGTCTCAGATCACGCAGTAAGGATGAGGGTTTGAATTCACCTACTCAGATAATTTCTGAGATTTTTAGCCAATTAATGTATACTACAAAATGCATAAATATTTAAAGATCACGGATTAGCTCCAAGAGATCCTTCAATCCATTTGTCAATCAGGCGGTGGGAGATGTGGACCAAACCCTTGCAGGCTAAGAAAGCGAACACGTATCTCCATGTTCCCATGCAAATACAGTTGCCTTCAGGCTATTAGATAAAATAGCTCTGTTTTAGAAGCAAAACATATGCAAATACAATTTTGAGAGTGGCCTGGCCCTTCATTTTGTACCATAAAACCATATTACACCAGTGGCTTCTGGGTATCGCATCATCAAGTTTCAAAGGAGCCGAGGCAGTAGGTAGGTAGGTAGGTGCGCAACCCGCAACAACAGGCAAGCAGTTCGGAACGGGTAGAGGGGAACTGCTCAGCACCTCTGCACATCAAAGGGCAGTGGTTGCTCAGTTTAAGTTAAACTGGAGTGTTCTGGGATGACAATTTTGGTCTTCAAATGCCTGAAGTCTACCTAAATTCTGGTTTTAATACCAAGTTTGGTGGGGTTTTTTTGGATACACTGAAGATATAACCGGGGGAAAAAACAACTCTCAGCAAACCTGCCTCAGGCTTTACCAGGGAGGAAACAGAGGCCACAGAGTAGGAAATCTGGCTTAGAAACATGCCTCTGTTGTCAATCATTAGGCTGTGATTATGCAGAGTGTACAAAGGAAACAGGTTTGACGGACAGCAACTAATGAAGACCAGACTCTGCCCTCATTTACAGTGGAAACAGTGAAAGCGAGTAAGCACTTGATTCAACTTTTTCTAACAATAGGAGCTCGCAAAAATACAAACGACTGCAGGTTTGCAGAATGCTTATTACTGTAATGATTATTTCCAAATTTATTTCTTCTACAGCAACAAATATTGGAAGAAAGGATATGTTTAATTCTTTCCCGGAAGTCTGTGGCATATTTTTGCAGCTTAAATCACGGAGACTTCACAAAACTCATTTAGAAGCATTAGGAATGAAAATGCTTAATTAATGCTTAATTATTAGGAATGCAAAAGCTGGCTTGATTCCTCACTATGCTGTAGTACAAGAACTATACTAGGTAATATTTTTTCAACTATGGAATGGTATTGTATTGTAAGATAAAACAGACATTTCCTTGTGTGTTCCTGGTGACTCTACTAATTCAAAATCTGGCCTAGCATTTATGTCTTTAGTTTAAGTATGCACCTAAGTGTTTCACTACACAGCTTGAAACACTTTCTACATAACACAGCTAACATAAAAATTATGCTGAAGGCAAACAGATAATTTTCCTTTCCTGCTCAAGCTACAAAGCTGTAATTTAATTTAGAGTCAATGTTTCCAAGGATTCTTGTCTAAGAATTAAGTAAGTCTATCATTCAGTAAAAAAAAAAATAAAAAAAAAAAAATCAATTTCTTTGTGAATCGCTAGCGAACATACTGTCTGTGGTATTAAACCCCTCTGCACCAACCTGTGCGGAGGCTAAGATAAGCAGCACACTCTGCAGGCCTACGGCTCCTACCTGGCTGATGCTTTAATTAGCTCACTAGGGAATAGGCTCGCTTGGCTAAGAACTTTTAGGACTGGACCACTGTTTTCTACAGGATGGCTAACCAGGTCAGCTGCATTAAAACCCTGTGCAAGACAGATGGAGAAAAGGAAAAAACAAAACATGAAAGTGAAGGAAAAAAATATAAACTTCACTATTCTCTTTTGTGAAGACGGTGTCTCGTAGGACAGAGCCTGCTGTCTTCCTTTGGAACTAGCAATAACATATAAGAATGCTAATGTCTGTTTAACAGAAACATCTTAATAAAACATAAAAAGATCTGCTTTTTTTGATGTACGGTCCCTACATTTTTCTAAAATATTAATCTATACCAGAGCTTTGAGTATAAACAATTCCCTTCCACAGTCCACGCCAGTTCCCAGCTGAATTACAAACAGCAAAAACACTGGTTCTTTTTTTCAGAAAAGGTTTCTCAGTGATTTACCATAAAGCTAAAACATTTGCCCTGCCTATTGATTTTTTATATAAAACGTATAAAATAAATGCATGTGCCCTTTTCAATATAGTCTGTCTGCGAAGACAGTTTACACTTCCACAGTTCTGAGTAACATGACAAGTATGCTCCAACTTTCCACAGGTGGGAAGAGCTTTGTACGGTTTTGTCTCGTTAGGATGCTGCTCCACAAACAGCACTCTCGGACATCCCAATGACAGCGTACGCCATCAGCAGGTACTGCAATTAACAAGGACTTACTGATTACAGCAATCATTAGATCGAAATAAATAAAGCAGTCTCTCAATCAAAAGATGGGGAAAGAACATCATGCTAGTGCACAACATAATCACCATGTGTAGCGCATTCTTATTTTCCATGTCCTCCTTTGATGGTCTTGCACCAAGTTGGAAAAGCCTCTTGCCACAGGATACTGAACATACAGTGAAATACTTAAGATGTCTGCAGTCAAAGAATTTACATTTGGTTTAGGTTAATCTTCCTTGACCTGCAGTTAATTAAAGAACAGCTGAAGTACAAAATATTTCCCCCAATTCTAGTGGCATACATGGTCATGTCAATCGGTTGCAGTCTGAACAGCTTCAGTTCATTTTTGTTATCATTTAAAATCTCTGATAAAAAAGGTAATAAAATGACATCTTTTTATAAAGAAACCATTGCCTTTTTCAAATAAAGAACATATCAGCATTTCATATCTGCTATATGCCATATTTTAAAAAGGTAACTTGCCTTTTTCTTTTTCTTTTTTTTTTTGTATTCCAAATACAAACATGTGGCACGCATTTGTGTTACTTAAAGTTTTAAGTCTGGTATCTGTTAAATCATTTGTGGTTGAAATTCCTGGGACCACACAGTGCCACGTCTTCCTTAAACCATCTATTGCACCAGAAATGAAAGGCTGTGATGGAGATGATCTTCCTATACTTTTCTAACACAGGAAATAGTTGGTTTAACATAAAAACAAATGCAGCTAAGCTGTGTTGCCAGCACTGTTTATCCCTCGGTATCATCCTGGAGAGAAAGAAAACAAATGGCAGAAAAGGCTGCAGCCCAGATTGCAACTACGTGTAAACAGGCGACCAACGCTACCAGTAACTTCCCATTATGACACTGTTGTCAGGAATTTTTTTAGAAACCCAGGTGTAAAAAAGTTTTTCTCACATTGGGAATTGGCACAAACATAATCCAGAGATTATCCTTTATAGCAGCTTTTCCTTTCATGTGCTTGGCTTTTCACACAAAGCACAAGCAAACACGAGAAGAGTTACAACCGAGTTACAACCAAGTGGCTTCAGCTCAACATCTTGGGAGCAGAGAGGAAGAAAGGGGGAGCCCCTTCTCTCTGCAGACATGCCAGAGAGGGTCCCCTCTGTAGGGGGGAGTTTGTGGGTCCCCCACAGCTGCAACCCAGCTCCCCACTTGGGAAGTCAGAGCTAGGCTGGCCACCTCACAGCAGGAGGGAGCCCTCCTGGTCCCCTGCTTTGTCCGGCCTCTCAGGCAGGGTGAGCACGAAGGGTAAGAGGACACCCTTGACATCCACGGGAGCTTTAAGAAGCTCCCCATCGAAGGTGCCCTTGAGCCCGCCATCCGCTTCCACCTCGCCGTCCTGGGCTAGGCTGAAGCGAAGGGTGCCAGTCCGGTTGACGCAGTAGATGGTGTTGCCCAAGGGGACGCAGCGGAAGGCCTGGATGGGGCCACCGCTGGGCCTCAGGCTGGCACACTGGCTCCAGCACTTGGCCACCGTGTTGTACCGGAAAACTTCGACACCACCACCAGTCCCGCCGCCTGGGCCCTGCTCCCCACCGCGGCCGCTGCTCACATCAAAGCGGTAGATGAAGCTCTTGAAGGCCACCATGTCACGCTTGGGGTCATACTTGAGCAGGCGGTAGAAGAGCGAGCCTCCCGACACATAGATCTCCCCATTGCAGGTGGTGGCCTCATGAGCGACGGCGAAGGCACCCTTGGGCAAGGGTGCCACAGGGCTCCAGCGGTCGGCCCGTGGGTCGTACCTCTCCACAGTGAAGAGGCACTCACCCCCCACGGCGTAGAGGTAACCATCCAGGGCCAGCAGCTTGAGCTGCGAGCGGGGCTGAGCCAGCGGCCGCACCTGGCTCCAGGTGTCGGTGAGGGGATTGTAGCAGAAGACCTTGTCAGAAAGGCGGGCCCGCGGATCGCCACCCGCTGGCCCCGCTGTGATGCCCCCTGCTAGGAAGAGGTAGTTGTGGAGGACACACATGGCACAGCCCTTGGCATTGGCCTCCTCGGGCAGGCGCGTCAGCACCCTCCACCCGCCGCTGGCCCCCCGCGAGCAGTGGG